TGAAACACTGTAATTTGCCAGTCAACGTGCACGATGTTTAGCATATAATTAGCATGCACCACTGGCAACAAAGAATCATCGGCCAAAATTTGTTTGCACGGATGCGCCTACGCATATGTTGCATCTCTAAAGGCCATTTAGATTCCAGAATGTTGAGGAAATCTGTTCCGGGGGAAAAATACCTGAAAGTTACTTTCATTGTATGTGAGTCAACCTTTTTCACAATTCGCGAGTTTTTATCTTCCGTTAAGACATTCAAAGTCGGCGGTGTTTATTCACCTGGGGATTTAGTTCACTTAAACAAGTTGCCATATTTAAGGGTTTTCAATAATACAGGAGCGTACTCAGAACTGCATATCCAGACAGCAGCAGTCAGTGCTTGTGAGCCTGTTGTTTCCTCAACCGATGCAGCCGCGGCCTCAGTCACGGAGTTCACATTCGACCCTCTTTCTGGTCACACTTTGACTCTTGGTCCAAGCGGTACGAAGACTTGTTCAAGGCTGATTTCTCCAAATTTGATGATGGGTGGAAAGTTGGACTATTGCTACGAAAACTCGACACACCGGAGCATGAATCGTTCACGAATTTCATTTCTCCCCAAGCTGCCCCGCGATCTCAGCTTTGATGAAACGGTCAGAACACTGTCCCAGATATTTGGCGATCAAACATCACTGTTCAGTATCCATTACCAATGCCTTGAGTTGGTAAAGAAACATTATGATGATTTCATCACGTTTGCCGGGATTGTTAATCCCGAATGCGAGTGCTTCAAGCTCAGCTCAATGACGGGGAGTCATTTCAAGTGCCTCGTTTTTGTATCCGGTCTCCAGTCGTCTCAGGATGCTGACATCAGAACCTGGCTGCTAAACAGAATTGAACAGGATGCCGAAATGACGATGCAGAGCCTCACCACTGAATGTCAACACCTCATTAACCTGAGGCACGACCGGCTATGATACATGACTCAGTATTGTCCGAATACAGTTTGCCAATGGAAGATTCAGAACGCACCAGAATTTCTAAAAAGTCATTGCCGCTTACGTTGTGTATATGAAGCACTGTACAAATGTTTCTGGTTTTATTTTGGCGTTAATACACCCTGTGCACCTTTGGTGGTTAATTTGATGTGAACGCTAGTTTGGGAGGCTCAGACCGATGAAAATACCGTTACTACAATTGACGTACGGGAATGGGCGATTTCGATCGAATTTAGCAGCTCGGAGAGATATTGCAGGGCGGGCATGATTGGATCGAAAAACTGAATCTGCTGGAGAAACCAATTAATTCTATTTGCAACCTCATGCGCGCGGCACCCGGGCTCTCGAACAGTCATGCCTCAAACTTGATCTCATGGGGCATGATTGGATCGAAAAACTGAATCTGCTGGAGAAACCAATTAATTCTATTTGCAACCTCATGCGCGCGGCACCCGGAGGTGCTCTCGAACAAACTAATTTCCCGAAGCGTTCACTTGACCTCCTACACCAACGTTATGCATCCATATTCACCAACGAGCTTGGACGGTGCACTAAAGCAAGAGCCAGACTGTGCCTCCTCCCTGGTGCCAAACCAGTCTTCAGGTCAAAACGTCCAGTACCACATGCAGCCTTACCTATCGTTGACCAAGAACTGGACCGACTACAGAATGCTGGTGTTCTCCAACCGACTAACTACTCTGCTTGGGGCGCACCTGTCGTGTTGGTGAAGAAGGCTAATGGGACCATCCGGTCGTGTGCGGATTTCTCCACCGGTCTCAACGCTGCGCTGGATACCCATCAATACCTCCTGCTTCTTCCAGACGATTTGTTCGCGAAACTGAATGGGTGTGAATATTTCGCGAAGATTGACTTGGCTGATGCTTGCCTCCAGGTTGAAGTTAAGGGAGAATCCCGTGAACTTCTCACGGTCAATACGCATCGCGGTCTGTTCCAGTATATTCGACTGCCATTCGGTGTGAAAACAGCGCCAGCTATATTTCAACAGATCATGGATACGATGCTGAAAGATGCCCCCGTTGTTGCTGTCTATTTGGACGATCTCGTTGTCATGCGTTCCATCCCCCACGTATTCAAGAATATGGCTTCAGCGTGCGCCGAGAGGAATGCACCTTTTTCATGCGGTCGACAAAGTACCTTGGTTTCATCGCTGGTCGCCAACCAGACCCGGAAAACATCGAGGCTATCAAACGTATGCCAGTACCCACAGACGTGACGTCTCTTAGGTCTTTCCTCGGTTTCGTCAGTCGCCTCCGAAGCCCACTGAACCAGGTAATTACCAAAGACCACAAATGGACATGGTCAGAAGAATGCCAACGCGCCTTGGACTCTGTCAAATCCATGCTAACTTCCGATTTGCTACTCATCCACTACGATCCATCTCTGGAAATCGTTGTGGCGTCGGACGCCTCGAACTACGGAATGGGCACAGTGATTTCACATGTATTTCCCGACAGCAGCCACAAAGCCATTGTACACGCAGGCAGATCCCTGACATCAGACATCTAGACACTTTTGATCTCGGCCCCATCCCATAAAATCAATCAGCCGCTTCGTGGGACGCCCAGCCTGAGCACGGATTACAACCACGACGCTAGACAGACAGGATCCGGAAGCCATTGAGACCACTGCAACTGAATCCTTGGCTTCGAATCTACGGAATTCCACACGGATTCCGGTTTACCGCTCGCACTCAGGTGCTGCTACGGCCGAGAAGTCCATCCCACACAAAATCGGCCAAGACTTCGGGACACTTGTCGGCCTGGCATCAGGGCGCGATCTGATTGTTCGAGGGTCTAGATTCAACAGCCAATCATGACCCAGTATTGGCCGAATGTCGGTTGCCCATGGCGCACCCATAACGCGCTAGAATTTCCAGAACGTTATTGCGGCTTACGCTATATATATATATAAATATATATATATATACTCTATATATACACTATAT